AAAAAACTTTGAGTTTGTTGACACACACCACAAACACTCCCCAACCGCCAGAGGGGGGCGGGGAATTCTGGGAGTTGAAGTCCACCCAGCTTAAAGTTGCTGAGGTTGAGAAACAGTGGTTTAAAGTGTTGTGTGAATCTAGTCATTAGGACCTGCATTCAAATGAACATGTATTAAAAGCTAAAAAAATAAACCAAGATAAATATACACACACACAGAAATAAGTTGCATGTATTACAATGGGTTTATACTATAGCAGTTCATAAACAATAATCAGTCCAGGATTTTAAGTCCAGAGTAGATATTTCCATCTTCTTAGTTATGCTTCAAGGCTAAGAAATACGAAGTTCTTCGTAAACGGATATATTCCATATTTTCAGTGTATAATTGAACATCACATGAATATCTTAAACTGTATTTCTGTTTCCAAAATCATAATGTTTGAAATCAGCTGAAAGCCATAGAGCAGTGTTTCTCAACTGTGGGAACTTGAAGATATGTGGACTTCGACTCCCAGAATTCCCCAGCCACCATGCTGGCTGGGGAATTCTGGGAATTGAAGTCCACTCATCTTCAAACTGCCAAGGTTGAGAAACACTGCCATAGAGTCTACACCCAAATCATATGTGTCCAAGTGCCTTCAATTGCATTACATTTCCAGCATCTGCTGAGGTGTCTAATCAACATTATTCTCAATCTTAAGAATTTGGGGATTTTTCTGCATGAAATGTTTAGCTTAGCCCTGGAGTTGGTGTAATAGGACAGGATATCAAATCTTGGGATTTGGATTGAGATCATATAAAGAAACTGACTTTTTAGGGATATAGCCATAAAGAGTAGAGACTGTTTCTGAGTGCAATTTCTTTTTTCAAAGCAGCCTGTGCCTTGAAGTTCCTTCATGATAAGAATATCTCCCATTTGGACCTCAAACCCCAGAATATCCTTTTGAGGTCTTTGCAGAAACCTCATCTCAAACTGGCAGGTACGGGAAGGACTTGAACGTTAGGTGGAGGATGTGCTCAGTTTCTCATTAAACCCTCCTCAAATGGATTTTGCTCACAATGAACAGAAGCAGTAGGACTTCGCTCCTTCTCCTTCCCCTTCTCCAACCAAGGAAAGGGGGAAGAAAAGTGAAGATGCCCCTATATATTGGTTGTGTAGATGTATCTGTGTTGTCCACTTGCAGTCGTATGGAAGTGATCAGCCCTTAACTTTTTTCCAGAATGGTTTTGAAGCAAAAAGCTGATTTGATGTGGGGGGTTTTACATCCAAAACGTGCCCCAAAACCACAGCAAGGAAAACTCCATAGATTCCTTTGTCTTTGGTGTGTTCCTTTCATTGACATTATTGTTATTCCCACTCGTTTTTCTAGATTCTGGAATTCTGCACCGGGGCTACATATACCATGATTCCCTTGTGAGATGGGCGGTGACCAAATTGGAAATATAAAAAAATATAAACAAACAATCCCCCCGAGATGCAGGGATGAGATGACCCCTACTTTGAAGGTTTTTAATCAGTCGTCCCTCTTTGCCCCCAGATTTTGGATTTGCGCAGCACATGTCCCCCCGAGATGAGAAGCATGTGCTGAGAGGTTCGCCGCTTTACATGGCCCCGGAAATGGTGTGCAGTCGACAATACGATGCTCGAGTAGATTTGTGGTCGGTTGGGGTGATCCTCTACGGTAAGTCCATCTTCGACATCAGGGGTGAAGTTCAGATGCTGTCTTCCCACGGCTGTCTACGTTTCATAATGGGATGGATGAATTATGAAGACAACTGGCTCAGGAGATTGATGGCTGGATATCTGGGTATTCTAATGTCTCATGATGTTGGACAGATGATTAGAGCAGTGTTTCTCAACCTCAGCAACTTTAAGCTGGGTGGACTTCAACTCCCAGAATTCCCCAGCCAGCCAGGCTGGCTGGGGAATTCTGGGAGT